AAAAAAAAGAAAGAAAGAAAGAAATTAAACAATGTACTTAGGGGCAAATCACATTTTGACCAGCCCTACTGGACCTTCCCTCACCCAATAAATGGGGTACAAACGCTTCTTGCATTTTTCCCACTAGTAAGGACTCACAATTTGGAGGTAGCTCATAGTAGTATATCTAGATTTGAATTTCGGTGGCACGTCTGCGCCGAGCTTCTACGTCTTTATCTTCCTCATAGCATAGCTACGAAACTGTGGGACTTGCTGAGGCGCTCAACATTCGTTGTTTCCTTTCTTAGATATTATGCACTTAAAGGGGCTCTGATTTGCAGTACTTAGGGAGAACCTTTAAGCTGGGAAAAGTGAAGGCTAATAATCGTTGCTAATAGGAAGAGAATGTTACTCTCCTAAGTAAATCATACCTAGGTTAGGAAAGGCCTCACAAGTACCTTTCATATCGCTTCCCAATTCTCTCAAGTTCTGTATTTTAGAAGCGGTCACCTCTACGACTTGAAACCCCCTCGCCAACTCTGACCAGACCAGCTCTTGCGCAGCCCAATCCCTCCCTCTCAGGAACTGAGATGCTCAGGCCCAGTCCACTATGGGGGCATTATTTGCTTACTTTTCCAGCTCCTTCTTAAGCTACGCAGGTCATGAAGCACTAACCGTCTCGGAAACCTCGATACTCCAGACTCGACTCGCGGGAAGGCGTGGGTGGGTGCGGGGATTGGACGCCTCGCGGAGGGGGCTGGCCCACAATCCCCCGCGAGGGCGGGAAAAACTAGGGGGGCAGCAAGGGGGACGGCTCGCAAGAAGCGGCGACAGACTGGAACCCTATAATGGACACGCAGATTAAGCCTCACATGAATGTTTCTTGGTCTTTTCACACCAAAAAAACTGGTAACTGTCTAGTGTGCTCTCCTTACTCTGGGATACCATTCCTCTTAAAGATTCTGAGGCTTCCACCCTACAGGCCAGGGTGGAGGTGAGAAAATGGGGTGTGTAGAACCCACTGGGCCAAGTTCTCCATCCTGTGGTCTCCAACTATCTCTATTCTGGCAGGATGTACATTTGACTGGGAAATCCTAGGTGAGATTTGGCGGTACCACAACGCAAACCACACCGAAGGGTGAAAATTTACATGCCACTTCGACCAGGCAAAACCTAAAGCACAAGGAGGGCCAGGCCGCAGACCCCGCCCCTTCCGCTTTACGACTGACGTCACGCGGCACAGCCGGCACTAGCTACGGGAGTTCAGCTCTGCGCCGCGTAGCGGTTTTGGGTCTGCGCGACTTTGCGCGTAGGATTACTGATTTGAAATGCAGCGGGATTTAGTGAGTTTCCCGCTCTCTCCTGCGGTGCGGGTAAAGCTTGTGTCTGCAGGTTTCCAGACTGCAGAGGACCTCCTGGAGTTGAAACCCTCCGAGCTCAGCAAAGGTAACGACTTCCAGTTGCAAGCTCTGGCGCACCAGGCCGCCTTCGGCGCTGCCTCCTCCGCCTGGGTTCTCCCGCCTCAGGTTCCACTGTCTCCGCCAGAGTCTGCTGCCTCACACGGCCGCGTTTACAGCGTGAAACAACTCTAATTCCGCGTAAAACTTGTCAGAGAGATTAGAGCTGTGGTCGTGAATACATTTGCTAATTGCTTTTAATGTGTCAGTGCCTGCTGACTGCCTTGAGAATTATCTCATTTATACCTCCCAAAGAACCCTCTTACTTGGATTATTTTGTTCAAGATATAAAAGAGAGAACTGATCTTGGGGAGGTTAGGTATCTAGGTGATAACTAGGCTAGGTAATAGTGGAATTTACAATTGGAATGAGACAAGCTGTCTTAATTTTTACTGTTACAAATCCATAGCAGGATCGTAATTCTAGAAAGGCAAGATTCATGCAGAAGTGTCTCTGAATACTAAGAGGGAAAAAGGGAATAGAATTCCCAAAACCTGACTTGGCTCCCATAGCACAGCGGTTTTGGCACCAGTCATATACACCGAGGCTGAGGGGTTTGAACCCGGCCTGGGCCAGGGTTCACTCTGTCTAAAAAAAAGAATTCCCCAAACCTGGAGAAAGCAGAAAGACGACACCCCTTCTCTCCCTTCTTAATAATACATTGAAAAACCCCAAACCTCATATCCTGGCGTACCGCAAGTTATACATTGGTGAGAATTACAGCATCTTGACATACACAAAGATGAAGCTGGCTGGCATATTACACTTTTAAGTTAAATTATCCTTAACGTTGGAAAGTGAAGAGGTTTCAACTCACCACTCAAGAATAAGTATTGTAGACCCAACCTTCTTTTTTCTTCTTTTAGAGACAGTCTCATTTTGTCACTCTCAGTAGAGTGCGCAGTGGCATCACAGCTCACAGTAACTTCCAGCTCTTGGGTGTAAGCGATTCTCTTGCCTCAGTCTCCTGAGTAGCTGGGACTACATGCGCCTGCCACAACGTCCTATCTATTTTTTTGCTGCAGTTTGGCCGGGTCGGGTTTGAACCCACCACCCTCGGTATATGAGGCTGGCGCCCTACTCCCTGAGCCACAGGCTCCGCCCTGTAAACCCAACTTTTAAGTGCTATCACAAAGTGTATAGGCTTTTAGTGGACTCTTTTTCTTAAAACAAGTTGGTTTTCCAAAGAAGAAATGGGAGACTTGGAATAATAATCAGAATAATTGACCATTTTGGATGGCCTTAATTTAATATTCTGTGAACTGGCTCGGCGCCTGTGGCTCAAGCGGCAAAGGCGCCAGCCACATACACCTAAGGTGGCGGGTTAGAATCCCCAGCCCGGGCCCGCCAAACAACAATGATGGCTGCAACCAAAAAA